CCTTGTAACGTATAATACTTCTCCATCTATCAATAAACCGTCGTCAATCAATGTTCGACTGTCCCTGCACACTAAAATTTCCAAAATTTTCACACAAAATCCCCAACACATGTTAGCATGCATAAACTGCATTAAGCTGCGCGTAATAAGTTTCATGTGCTGCGAATATCTATATTGTGAATAGTTGCAGAGGAGAAAAAAGAAGAAAGGTAGAAATATTCTACGATGTCTGCGATGTCCTCCAATAAGTTGTTGCACCATAGGATGGCAACAGTCATTCAATAAAAATTAAGAGGAAATGAGTTTCACTTAATTAATCTTACATTCGCTTCAATATAGCTGCAAAAGGTTTTATCTATGAGAGATAAAAGATCAGTTGCTATCGGGACGTAGTGAATTAGTTGAGCGCTAATCTACTTCCACATTCACACATTCATAGAAATTCCCTGATTTCCAAAATTTTCAAGTGTATATGTGTGACAGTCGCTATCGTAGTGATCCTTATTACAAAAGATACAAGTCTCCGCTTTTCATTTTCGTTCTTTAAAAAAAAAAAAAAACTATCATTGTCGATTTTATTTTTATCAATACCACTTTACAAAAGAAAATTAGATTACGCCACACAACACTGACTCCTTATCTCAAACTTATCCAACAACATAACATACTGGTAAGGATGTCGCACTTTTACATAAAGAAATTGAAGTGTTTAATCCATGAGACCCAGAAATGAAGGAAATGAAATTAGCCTTCTTTGATAGTGGTTCACAACTATTCTTTATATTCGATGACTTAGCATATCGATCAAACCTTAATGGAACAGAAAAGGAAATGGAATTGTACCCACTTGGCACTAATACACCTAAGTTGTATTTTACTGCATACATATAGTTAGGTGTAATGACTGAAGAAAGGGAATCGATAAAAACTGAAGCCCATGTAATTGACTACTTAACGAATAAAACGCGAGTGGTCGAAACTTGATATTATGATGAAAACGAAATTGCTAATGCCGAAAAACCGAGGAGATTTATAATACGTTAAAACAGTTAAGGTACTTGTTGTACAGAGTATTCCTTAGATCGGCGATTCATCACATTAGGCATAAAAAGGAAATTATGCAAAACGTTTTCCCGCACCTAAAGTGATGAGTTAGTTAACTAATCTTCAAATCGCCCAAAAATGCTTTTTTTTTGTCTGATGTTGAGATTTGCTCACATCCAATAATTAATTTGTAAAGTTATGTAAAAGCTCTATGTAAAAATTTTAGATACAGTCGTGAGAAAACTGCACATCTAGTAAAACAATTTCTACGCAATTCCCTATTTATGTACATTAAAAGAAAAAAACTAATTTTATATGTAAATTTCTCTTGCAGCTGTGAGAATACTGTCAATTTTGTAAAGACCTTATAGGCAACTATCCTCATAACCACACCCACTTGTTCTCGATATAAATTAACTAGGATTTGATATTGGTACTCACTGTTGTTTCAGTAAACACTATATACTCATCCATCCATGCGAAGGTATCTTAATTACTTCACTTAAAGCACCGATACAGCTTGTTATTCTTCTCCGTTTTTCTTTTATCCCCAATAATTCATTTTAATCTATCCTTCGGAACTGAAGTAAAATTGTGTCTCTCATTCGCGTTAGTTACTTAGTTAAATACTATCTGCATTCCTGGTATATTGCTACATCAAAAGGATCAATAAGTCCTCATCCATCCATTGATAATTTAATCTTAACAAAACAGTTACAAATAAACGTGGGGAACCAGCTTTCTTTCAATGAAGGAAGCAAGGAAGTCGAGTTTTATTTGTTACGAAAGAAAGCCAAATTTTTTACAGCAGATATACTTATCGGAGCTGATTACTTCAAATTTATTCAGCTGGAGAAAAGCCAACAATCAAAATCTGGATGTTTCTCAATCCTATACTAAATCGGCACTATAGTAGTTGCATGTGGAGATATGGATGAACTAACACTGTCAATGCCAAACATTGTTTAAGAATAAAATGTATGGCTAACACATAACATGAATCCGATATGGAACGATTTTGGAGGTTAGAATTGATAGTGCCGACGATAATGAAGTGACATTGAAGCAATTCAAGAGAATCATCGTCGAACAAAATGAATGATATGAAGCACGTTGTGTCGGATTACCAAAATTAAAGCTATTTTCAAATGAAATGCCTACAATATCTAACAGACAGAGTGATGAAATCTTGTAAAATTAAAGCAATGAAGAGGATATAAGTTAACAATGGACAATACAACACAAAAATATCTCAGTATCTACACCATGGACAATGATATTCATTATATTTACACAATAGACAATACCAAAGGGCAGCCATACCTCCATGATAACTCCGATACAGCTTACAAAACTCCTCCCTAATCCTTATATATATAAGAAAATGGGAAAAAGTTTTTATAACCAAGGAGACGTTACATCCTCATCGCATATCCTCTCCAACTAAACCACAAACAACGACATCTTCGCATATCCACCACCACTGGACAACAAACTATGATATTCTTTCTGTTCGCTAAATACATTTCCCGTATCCCAACTCAATGGCCTATCAACTAATCGACAGTCAAATTATT